CCTTGCCGTATATTTGTAAATATGTATATATTACATTTGAACAAACTTGCTCGGACACACTGGTCAGTTCCAGCATTAACTGGTTCGTGCAATTGTAAGATACCCGTCTTCTCCGCGAGGTGTCCGTGGTTTACTTCTCGATTCGGTCGGTATATGTGCATCACTAGTGAACTCAAATCTAGTGCTGCCCGATTGTGTGCTTGACTGATTGAACTAGGGTTTGTGTTTGTGTGCCATGTCCTCCGAATGATAATCGGTCAAAGTTAAAGGACGTAAGCATCGATGGTTACGCCCACTGTTATGTAACCTGTTCTTCTCTTTCACGCCTTCAGAACAAGATTTGCGCTCATAGAATATTTGACCAGTATCGTTGTCTGAGTAGTTTTTGGATTATATAGTAGACCGTTCTGTTTCTTACCGAAGTCCTCTGTAGATTAGTTGTATTAGATTAGATTAGTTGTATTAGATTAGATTAGTTGTATTTTCGACATGCACATATAAACGCAGTTCTGCTAATTATGAGCACTTTGATACAGATTAAACTTTGATTCCTGAAAGTCCCATCTGGTAAAACCCAAGTGTCCACACATTCTTCCGTTGTTATTTGTTTTTACTTTACGGGCGTGTAAGTCCGGACTCTGTATCAGTCAAATCACGGTACAAAAATCCTTATAACCAAGAACTCAGTCCATGATTTGCAAGTGGGTGCGATACTGCTAGGTTACCCAGGACAGAGCAGGTGGATTTTCTTAGTGAATTCACAACCGGAACCTCTGACTAGCCAGAGCCTGACCCGCAAAGCAGCAGAGGGCGGTGTGTAGACCGCGATCCGCAGGGGATCTTTCTTTAGACTAGGTTAAACGTCCCAGGTGCTCCGTACAACTCGATGCCCCATCAAGCCAGCGAGCAATACCATAACCAGAAAGGTTTTTTATGGTTCATACACCTCTTATCGGTTGGTTTGGAATGTTTGATTTTAACCCACTCACCAAGGTGCACTGCCAGTCTCTCACGGCTTGGTTATCAGTTTCAGTTTGTACAACCATTAACTGTGCACTTTTGTCCACTGGTTTTGGTTATAGTTCCGGAGGTGTGCTTTTCGTGCCCTCACTTTGATTGGAAAGCTCCTCCACCACGTGAAAACAGTGGGCAGGGCTTCCTCAGCAGAGGCTATTTGGGACGTTTGGTTGTGTGAGGAGTCTTTCTCGAGATGCATCATCATCATCATCATCATCATCATCGCCGTACAGCAAGATACAGTGCAGCGAACTTCACTGATCGCTGCCAGGCTCACAATGTACACAAATCAACTGATAAAACACAAGATGGAGAGGGATTGGGCCTACTTGGAGGGAGGCAAAGAAAGTGAACCTTTATGGTCAACACACAGGGGGTCTACATACCTTCTGATGCATTCTGATATGACAAGAAATGACAACAAGAACGCCACTGCCGTCGGTTACCCTTCAGTGTCCCCACCCAACCAGTTGCACAGCTATCTAAGTAGGAGAAGCAGTCCATCATAACTAATTCTTGACCATCAAGCATCAGCGCCAGTCACGGCTCTGGACGTCCACCTGCGAACATAGTGAGGCTTTCGGTAGCTATTAGTCGGTT